GGGGGGGGGGGGGGGGTCTCTTTCTCATGCAGAAAGCTATTTACAGGGAAATGCGATGGATTAGCTGAAGCTCATCAATAGGGAGCGCCTGCTCACCCGGTGCTTTACAGACTGGCCACCAATCGAAGGGAATTTCAATATTTACCTACATCCTCGTTTTGTTAGTTGCAGTTAAGCAAACACGCAATTCGCTAATTCATGTTAGTGGATGAGTGAGACTTGTTTAAGTATTTTCCTTCCACGCTAATGATGATTCATTTGAATGACTTTAGGTGTGAATTTTGACTCACGGGCCATTGAATACAGATAAACAACAGGGTGGTTCGTTTTAACATCTATCCATGAGCCAATTTAACGATCATATTACAATTACATTAACTGGGCAGATAGTTTTGTTCTGACCTATTGTACATATGTTATTTGTCTGTCACACACACACACTCCTGCAAACAGAAGTATATAAAATGTATTCACACACTGTTGGAGTGAGATGAAATACACAAGGATTAAAGGCACCCAACACCACAAAGTCACATCACAAAATGCCAAAACAGTCAAAAGTGCATTCATCAGTCTACATGAATTAAATCGATCGTTTCATGTATTTGTTTTATACAGTGTGGCTCCGATGGCATTAGTACCCCTGCAGAGGCAGATCATGAGGAATTGTTTAGTGTTAGGCTGTACCGGAGATCTTTGAGTTCTGAAAATCATTTTCGAGCTGAGGTTAACAATTGTTTAGGTCCTTTTGATGAAGGAAAGCAAAGCAACAAATTACTGAAAAAGTCTAGTTTGTGTTGGCCGCTACAAAGTATTAACTTAAGGGGGCTGAATAATTTTGCATGCCCAATTTTTCAGTTTTTTATTTGTTAAAAACGTTTGAAATATCCAATAAATTTCGTTCCACTTCATGATTGTGTCCCACTTGTTGTTGATTCTTCACAAAAAATTACAGTTTTATATCTTTATGTTTGAAGCCTGAAATGTGGCAAAAGGTCGCAAAGTTCAAGGGGGCCGAATACTTTCGCAAGGCACTGTATAAAGAGGGGTCGCGCACCTCTTCCGCTGTCTTTCCTGCATGGTGTCGAGTGGAAAGAGGTGAGCGCTCCACCCATTTGTGATTATTTTACTTTTATTGTCCACCCTGGGTCGCATGGGTAAACTTGTTGTGTGCTTTTATTTAGGAGTGAGCTGAGCACTCACTGGAGGCTATCTGTTCTATGTTTTTTCCCTTGTGACCAGGTATGTCCAATTATGTATAATAGTTTGTGTGTTATCACCCTGCGCATCTCTTCCACTCTCTCTTTCCTGCATGGTGTCGAGTGGAAAGAGGAGCGAGCTGAGCACTCACTGGAGGCAATCTGTTTTATGTTTTTTTTCCTCTGTGACCAGCAATAAAGGGCCTCGTTGAATAGCAAATGTGTCGGTCCATGTGTCCCAAGCAAACACAATGCAGCACGGCCGGTGACCAGAGGGACAGGTGAGATGGCGGGGACTAAGAGGACAGCATAGAGACTCAAAGGCGACCGGTTACACCAGCAGCCTGGACTGGCAACGAGGCAAGCCCATGGCAATCAACCTGGCTCCGCTTAAGCCAAATGCTGGCGTGTTCTTGTCGTCAGATGGTTGCATGTTTCTTACAGGACACATCGTGGCTCCCTCCTCAGTGATCCTTGTCCTGTGACTACCACTCACCCGTTGTTTCCTGGATAACGTTTCTGCTGAGTGAACTCACCTCATCATGTCTCTGTGAGTGTCAGTGTTCCTGCAATCCATGTCAACTCACCTCTTCATTTTCCTGGGTAACGGCTCACCCTGTGAATGAACTCACCTCTGCCATCTGACCTCTTCATTCCCATGACCGGGACTTGTCAGCTCCTTGCCGTCTCATCCACCATCCACTCCAATCTGCTGTGCTTCCTCAACCCAACCAACTCCTAGACTCCAGTCCACCTGTCTCCACTCCTCCAACTGACCATCATTTCACCACCATTAGTTACATTGTGCTTCCTGGCTACCAGAGCCTTTACTCTTCATCCTGACTCTTCCTCACTCTGTTCAGCATCTATTCTTCCCAACACATACATACATACATACTATGAACAGTCCTCTCTCGCTGTTGCCTTGATTCTTTCCCCTGCGGTACTGGACACAAGACTACAGAAATCACACAACCATATGCAAGGTAAGGAATTTAACCAAATAGTACATTCTGGGAGCTAGGTAAAAAGAACTAAAGGGACACAACCTAAAACAAACTTGGAATGTAAACAGAGCATAAATGACAGCGAACAGAACCAAACTCCAATGGAAAACAGCCCAAAAAAAGCAAAGACTAAAAACGAGGCAGGTACCGTCTTACGGACTGTACAGAACAGCACAACCAACAGCCTGTGGCAAGAGGAACTGATGAGCAAGTGGGAAAGGAGGGAAAAGGAGGAGGTATACACCCATCAGGCATAGCATTATGACCACATGCCTAATACTGTTTACATAGGAGTCCATGTGGCAGTCGGTCAGCACTCATGTCACTCTGCAGCTCACTGTGCATCTTATGTGAATCCATTTGCTTCCACAGTTCTATTTTCAGGAAGAGCACAGATGTGTCTACAATTCAGTGAAAAACATATGTAAAAGGAGTGAAAACTTGTTAGGGTTGCGTCCCCCTCACCAGGGGGTGAGGGAGAACAAAGGTAAGACTCAAGATGCAGACCCAGGTGCTAGTGGAAAGAAGGAGGTTTAATAGAGAACACAAAGTAACAGAGTCAATGTATGGTACAAAAACAGGATAGGGCAGTGATAACTGAGAAAACCAGGAGGAGCAGGTGAGTAGACAAAATAATGGCAGGAACCAGGAGAGTCGGGGGACCAAGATGGACAGGTGAAATAGACAATAACCAGGTGGATTAGCTAATGCTGTTAGGGAAGCAGAGTACCGAACAAAAAAAAAAAAAAAAAAAAATTTACAAAGCCAGGAAACGGACCCCTTTG